GAAGGCGTTGCCGCGGTTGGAAGGTGGGACCGACCGGCGTCGCTGCCGGAGCCCGAGGCGGGCTCAACGGCTGCCTGTACGCGCGCACAGCCGGCGTGTCGCGATGACCGTCCATCGGTTGGTTGAAGAGCTGCTGTAGGGGAATGTCGTCGTCGCTGTCGGAGGAGGTTTCGGAGTTCGCAGGGGAGTGCTGGGGAAGAGTTGGGGGGTCAGTGTGGATCGCGTGGGGAGAATCGGAAGACGCGCTCTCCGAATCGGTCGAACTCGCGGCGTTATATACCGCCAGCTCGCTGACGAGCCAGGGGGCATGATCGTCCACGCGGAGGGGCTTCTGTTCCCGCATCGTGCGCGATAGAAGGAAACGTCCGGAACGGACCCGCGCGCTCGAGTAGAGGGTCGCTACGGGGACGTAGCGAAAGCTAAGGGGGGAGGTCTGTAGTATAATGACCGGCGCGAGCGCGCGGAGGTCATCGGACGGCCGTATACGGTATACACGTGGGCGGCTGTGCCCACGTGTAGCGAGCGCGCGCGCATGCCGAGCGGTCGTAATCTGGCGTACGTGTACGTTAGCACACGTGTCGTCCGTGCGGTAGTCTGTAAGCAACACGCGTGTACAGTGGTGCACACGTGTAGTAGCAGCGGCCGTGCGGTAGTAGCAATTATGGCGCTAGTTTTTTAATTGTGTACAGTACCCGGCACGCACTAGGCGGCAGGTACTGTACTACTGTACTGGGACAGGTGTCCGAGGCGTCCCCCTGCGGGGTTAAGACCTGGCACCCGTCCCCACCAGTAAACGGGGGCAAGCTCGCCCCCGTCCCTTTTGCGCCTACGTACGTCCGTTTCGGTTGTCCGCCGCGCGCGCTGGCTTCTAACCCGTTACCGGTCGCTCCCGTTTACGCACCACGGGGCGACTGCGCGTAACCGGCCAGTGAGCCACTCCCTTTTCGCGAGCTCGTCCGATCGGTTCAATTGGCGCGTCGCGTCCGCGCCGCGTGCTCCCTCGCTAAAGCCTCCGCCTCTCACCCAACCCAGGGCGGAGAGGAGTTATCCCACATGTATGATTTTAGTGACCCCATAGCGTGACGTACACAGAAAATGTGATTTGTGTATCAGTCACAAATTGTGATTTTCGGAATGACCCAATGCGTCCAGTTTCGTCGCAAATCGTATTTTATCGCCACTTTGCGTGGCCTCGTTTTTGTGCTGCCGCGCAACAAGACTGTGAATTATGATTGAATTTGGGGACCGAAACACCATTCACGCGGGAACCGACGGAGGCATATTGGAGTGCGAGCTTTCCGGAACACTATCCGCGCTTTCCGGGGGTCTCTGTTCTACGTACGAAAGCACGCGCAAAGCGCCGATAATGCGCTGGAGAGGGTGTATCCTGCTCTTCCCTACAGCATCAACCTTGCGGATAATCTCCGGCCGCATACTCAGCGCGGTGTACAGTCTGTCGAAAACGCTTCGCGGTATTCCAAAACGCCTGGAGAAGTCGGTGTTGTCGTAAACAGGTGGCATGCCATCGACGCCAAAGTAGTGCTTTCGTAGTTTCAGCACGGTACCATCAAAGTCGCGCTTCTTATTGGGAGATTTCCCAGGTGCTGACCCTCCATGACGTCCCGAATCGAAGTCGTTTTCGTCAGCTTCCGCCTCCAGCTTGCACATGAGCATAGTGAACTCGTCATCGTCTTCGTCCAATGGAAAGTCAAATGACTCTACGTGAGTTGCAAGAGCTGGTCCCTCTGTCACAGCACCTTGCAGCTCCTCAAGGCCGTCGAGCTCTTCCAGAGCTATTTCTCGCCATGGAGGCTCCATGGCGAGAAATAGCAATCTACTTGCGCGGTGGTGTTCCGCCGACGAATTGCGACGACGCAAATTGCGATACTTTCCCGTACAGAGTGCCCAAAGAGAATAACCAATTAGAAGTCGGACAAGTGTCCTAGAAATAGCAACATTCTGGCTGCGCGGTGGAGATGCTCTAACACAAACACAACAAAGCCTGTAGAACACAACTAAATAACTTCATCCTTTGAGTACTGAACCATGCCGGATGATACACGTGTGAGCTTATGATAACCTGTGCCAGAGGGTGAGCCATAGCACTATATAGAGGGAAGCACTACTAAAGTAGGCACTATTGAGCGACCCCCCCCTGTACGTAAAAGCAACAACACGCCACCTCACGGGAGAAGGTTCCAGGGAGCAGCTCCTCTGGTTGGTGAGATGGAGGTTGGTTGGTAATGTGCAGGTTGGTTGAGGACCTCCGTCCCCATCCACCCTCCACCTCACCAACCTCCGTCTTCGAAACGAAATCTTTCCCAGTCCAATGGACGTCCCGACCGCTGTGCTTCTAGTCACCGTCGCCCTGATTCTCCTGACCTACCTCAGCCTGCGCACGCGCTTCCCGCATCTCCCCGGCCCGGGGCTGCGCGCGTACCTCCCGAACGGGCAGGTGCTGCGCGTGCTGCAAGACAACCGCCTCCTCGCCGGGACCGTTCTCCGCCTCTCCGCGCAGTACGGCGACGTCTTCCAGCTCTGGCTGGGCCCGTCCGAGTTCGTCGTCACCTCTGTCCCGGACGACGTCGTCCACATCTTCACTAAGACTCAAGTCTTCGTCAGACCCCGCGCCATGCGCGCCATGTTCGACGCCGTCGTCCCCGGCAGCCTCTTCACCCTGTCCAAGCCCCACCACGCCCAGGCCAGGGCCCAGCTCCGCGCCAGCTTCAACCACACCTACCTCAAGGGCTTTCACCACTCCATGCGCCGCGCCGTCGACGATATGTGCGAAGACTTGGCCGTCGCCGCTACTGTGCACCCAGGCAACAACCAGTCCGACCTCATCAATATTACGCAGTATCTCTCCGCCGCAGCCTTCCAGATCATCACCAACTGCGCGTTCGGCGTCGACATGCCACGTCAACAGCGCCTCGCCTTCGCGTCGTACGCCAACGACCTCATCGGCGGGATGCTGCTAGAGCTCATGGGTTACCCGTTCCGCCAGATCCTCTCGGTCTTCGGTTCGCGCAAGGCCTTGATCGCAAGCAAGGCCAAAGTCGACGCCGTGTGCGCAAAAATCATTCGCGACCGCCAGCAAGAAACGCCCCACCACAAGGCCAGCCGCGCCTCGGACTTGCTTGACGCTATCCTGGCCCTAGACAATCATGACGCGCCCGCGCTGGTGTCCGAGGCCGTCACCTTCTTTGTGGCGGGCGGCCACACCACGTACGAGACCCTAGCGTGGTGCATCTTCGAGGTGTCACGCGCCCCACGCGTGGAGGCCGCCATCCGCGCGGAGCTGGCGCGCGTGCTCGGCGAGCGCGATGTGCACCACGCCATCTCGTTTGACGACTGCGAGAAGCTCACCTACCTCAAGCAGGTGTGGAAGGAGACGCTGCGCTTGCACCCGCCGGGCGCGTTTGTCATGCGCACGGCCGCGTGCGACGTAACGCTGCGCGGCAGCGGCACGCGCATCCCGAAGGGCTCCAACGTCATCAGCCTGTTCCTCGGGGCGCAGTGCAGCGCCAAGTTCTGGAAGCAGCCGGAGACGTTTCGCCCGGAGCGCTGGGACAGCGCCACCGGCGAGGCGCGCCGCGCGCCGCCCGGCGCGTACACGCCCTTCAGCCTGGGCGCGCAGAACTGCGCCGGCCAGTTCCTCGCCGACTACGAGGCCGTCCTGACCCTCGCCTCGCTCTACAGAAGGTTTCGCGTGCAGCTCGCGTGCGAGCCCGCCGAGGTCCGCTCGTGCACCGGCTGGGTCGAGGGCGCCCGCACCGCCGTTGACGGCAGCGACTTCCAGTACGGCCTGCCTGTGCGCGTCACGTCCGTCGCGTGAGGCCGCGGGAGGAACTGCTGCGGTTTCTAGCCGCAGAGCGCATGCCGCCCATGTAACGAGGAGGCAGGGGGCCGGTGACACGCCCCTCCGAATTAGCATCGCGCCGCAGTGTACTGCTTGTGCGAGCAGGCGCTGCAAGATACACGTATGCCCGCATCTCGCACAAGCGCATGGCCCCCGCGCCATGGGCCGCCGGGTGGCTGGCTGTTGCATCCCCGCGCCGCGTGGAGCGCGGGCGAGGCGCCGCCCCCGAGCCAGTGTAGCGTGCCGCGGACTCCGGCTTTTCGCGTACCCGCGCTTCCTTTCGCCGCGCCTCTCGTCGCGCCGCGCGCACACCTCGCATGCTCGCGCGCCTAGTTGCTGCGTGCCGTACAGCAAGCCATGGCGCCGGCATTGCACCCAGCACGCCCTGAACACCACCGTGACATGACACCACCTGCCACCGCGCCTCCCCGCCCCACGCCCTCATCCCCCTCTGCAACAGCACCGCCAATTCTCCCACCGCCCCCCACGCGCAACAACGGCGCGGTCCGCATCGTTCCTCTCCCGCGGCTTAGTCCTCGGCCAGGACATGGGCCCTCACGCCTGCATCGCGCTGCCCCTCCCGAGCCTGCGGGCCGGGGAGCGTGTGGGCCGGTTAATCGCCGCTAGTTGAGCGCCGGGCTGTGCATTATGGTACTGTATACCAGGCCGGCCGTCGCAGTCGGTGTGTACGCGCGGACAGGTTGCATCGGTGTGCGGTAGTGGGCGCAACGTGAAGACGGTTAGGCGGACAACAAGGACGCGGGATGACAGCCATGTTAACAGGCCGCTTTACAGAGCATTTGCAATGACGTGGACGTGAAAGTGTATGCTGTCCGTTGGTACTGTACCACGGCATCTCAATGGCGCCTCCATGCCTAGCTGACATGGTCGTGAACATTTGTCTCTCGCACAGAACGCATACTTACTATCCATCGTACCTACCTTCCAGGGGAATCGGCGGCCCCCTATCCCCGTCCCCTGATAAAATCTCCACCCACCTACCTCCCCACACCCACTCATCTTCCTCCGCCCGGCCCCGTCTCCCGCTCCCACCACCACACTACCAACCATGGCGCCCCTCCCCCCCGCCCAGCCGACCGCCCC